TCTCTTCTCTCTTTCTTTGCGAGGTGCTCTTCTCTCTCTCTCTCTCTCTCGGCCTCTCTTCTCTCTCACTTCTCTTCTCTCTTTCTTTGCGAGGTGCTTTTCTCTCTCTCTCTCTCTCCTCTCTCTCTCTCTCTCTTCCTCCTACCTCTCTCCCCCTCTCTCTCGCTCTCTCTCTCTCTCTCTCTCTCTTCTCTCTCTTCTCTCTCTCTTCCCTTCCCACTCCACTCTCTCTCTCTCCCTCCCCCCCTCTCTCTCTCTCTCCTCCCCCCTCTCTCTCTCTTCCTCTCCCCCTCTCTCTTCTCATACCTTGGAAGTATGTGGTCGCGAACTTGACGAACTTGTTAGTCGCCTGATGTCTTCCTCGTCGTTGATATCGTCAGCTCCACTTAGCCGCCGAAGATCTCCGCTGTCTCCTCCTGCAGCGCCAGCTTCCTAGACTCCTCCAGCGGCTCCTGCCCCCAATTCATCGATCACATCAATCAATGTCATACGACTCGATCGATCAATTCATCAACCCAACGCACCGTCGACAACGGACCCTGCTGCTTAGCACATTGTCAACCCCCGCACATTCCGTGCTAGCACTACTGTCGTGACTAACCATTCAGCTTAACTCTTAACCAAGATGCCAACACTTTTCCTGGAGCAAACTGTGTAGTGCAGGGCATGTCTGAAATCGTGTAGGTCTGACGGGTCATGGCAGTGACCCGGCAGTATGGCTAGGCCGCGGGCGTTCGCGGACAATGCACCCCCCAAAGCCGGAATTTTTTTGATTCGCAGATGCAATTTCCCGCATTCTGCGCGACCCAAAATGACAATAAGCTTCACACCTGATTATTTGCTGCCTAAATACACCTTAGTTGTTATTTTCAATCATGTTATATCAATGTAACACTGAAACAAAACACTTGAAATATGATAAAAATAAATTTTTTTCGATTGTAATAAAAATCGTAGTTGTATGCAAACTGGTAGAAAAATTCGTATAAAATACGGATAAATCGTAGTGGTTGGCATCTCTGCTAACCCTAACCCACTCTCCTTATTACCACCACTAACTCACCCCGAATGCGGTGTTGCGTGAGCACGGGGTACGCGGCGTCATGGTGCGGTCTCCGCTCTGCCAGCACGGCGTCCGAAGATGGCTCGGTCGATTCATGCTGCCGCTTATCGTCGATCGGCTCGTTTCTTGCGTACGCTCGCGGCCGCGCCGATCTCTGCGCCGCTGTCCCGCCCTCCGCTATATGCCGCTTTCCTCACGCCTCGTCGCTTCTTTCTCCTCCTTCAAACCACTGCTTCCAGCCTGCCTGCCAGAATACATCACATGTAAATGTACACTAGATGACATACGATGACATGCTACGTTGAATCACACACAGTAGCAAGCTTATGCAGCCTCATCCTCGTTCTCCTCCTTCAACCACTGCTCCAGCCTCGCCTGCAGATACATACATGTAAATGTACATAGATACATACATACATGTACGTGATCACACACATAGCAAGCTTATGCAGCTCATCCTCGTTCTCCTCCTTCAACCACTGCTCCAGCCTTTGCCTACAGCATACATACATGCTAAATGCCTACATAGATAACATATCTATACATTGTACGTGATCACAACACATTAGGCAAGCTTATGCCACACTCATCCTCGTTCTCCTCCTTCAACCACTGCTCCAGCCACACATACATACATACATGTACACATAGATACATACATACATAGTACGCTGATCACATTACATAGCAAGGCTTATGCCCACCTCGCTCCTCCGGTTCTCCTCCTTCAACCACTGCTCCAGCCACACATACATACATACATGTACATGTACATGACTTGTACATTAGCAGCTACATACATGTACATGTTACATAGCTACATCACATGTACATGGTACATAGCAATCCATACATGTTAGATACATCACATGTACATGTTAGATATATACATGTACATGATAGCATACATACATGTACATGTAGGCACTACATTCACGTACATGTACGCACTACATTACCACGTACATGTAGATACATACATGAAGATACGTACATGTACATGTAGCATACATACCGTACATGTAGATACATACATGTTAGATACATTACACGTAACATGTAAGCCACATACATGTAGATACATACATGTAAGATACATACACGTATATGTAGATGTAGATACATACATGAAAGATACATACATGACATGTTAGAACATACAGCGTATATTACATTGTAGATACATACATGTACATGTAGATACATAACATTGAAGATACATACATGCTACATGTAGATACGACTACATGTAGCATTACATACATGTAGATACATACACATTACATGAAGCATACTATATATGTACATGTAGATACATCAACACGTACATGTTATGATACATACATGTAGATACATTACATGTAGATTACATTACACATACATGAAGATACATACATGTTACATCGTAAGCATACATACACGTACATGTAGATACATACATGTACATGAAGATACCATCTACATGACTACATGTCAAGATACACTACATGTAGATACATACATGAACATGTAGATACATACATGTAGATACATACATGTAGATATATACACGTACATGTAGATACATACATGAAGATACATACATGTACATGTAGATACATACACGTACATGTAGATACATACATGTACATGTAGAAACATACATGTAGATTTCACATACAATGTAGATACATACACGATACATGTAGATACATTACACATACCATGCAGATACATACATGTACAGGTAGATACATACCACGTACATGTAGCATACATACATGAAGCATAAACATACATGTAGATACGTACACGTACATGTAGATACATATATGTGGATACATACATGTACATACATACATGTACATACATACATGTATATACATACATACATGTATATACATACATACATGTACATGTACACACATACATAGATACATGTACGACATACACGTAGATACATACATGTACATACATACATGTACATACATACATGCCACATATATGCATACATGTACAATACATACATGCTGGTACGTGCATACACGTACGACATACCATGCATACATGTATGTGTTATTGCTACGATGTTACATATATACATACACATATATGATCACATACGCACGCACGCACGCACGCACGCACGCACGCACGACACACACACAGCAAGCTACATCAGAGAGAAAGCAAGAAAGAGAGAGAGAGTGAGAGAGAGAGAGCGAGAGAGTGCGAGAGAGAGCGAGAGGAGAGAGAGTGGAAGAGAGTTATGATGTTATCTGCGATGTTTGTAAAATTCCTTCGTGAATATAACGTCATATGACATTATAAAACATCAACATGTCCGCTCCTTATTATTCGCGTACGCAACGCGTCGCACTCATACGTGAAGCGTCTGCTGAAGGCACCTATTTACCGTATAAATATTTCCAACATGGCCGCTCCGCTGTGTGTTTCGCGCAGGCAACGCGTCGCACTCGTACGTGAAGCGTCTGCTGAAGGCACTTATTTACCGTATAAATATTTCCAACATGGCCGCTCCATACTATAAAACAACATGGCCGCCCCGCTGTGTGTTTCGCGCAGGCAACGCGTCGCACTCGTACGTGAAGCGTCTGCTGAAGGCGCCTATTTACCGTATAAATATTACCAACATGGCCGCTCCATACTATAA